TCGTGTAGCATTGCGCGAAATTCAAAACCAACCAACCAACTTTCTTTTCAGTATTGTATTTCACTTTTAATGTTCATTATGTTAAGAAAAAAAGAAAAATCACAGTTTCCCATCCTTTTGTTACAAACGAGATTTTATTTCACCTGTCGAATGTACGGGTACTCCAGTTATTCAAGCAGAAGAAAGAAGAACAAGAAATTCAAACTTTTTGCTATAATGTTTAGACATTCCCAGAACTTGTGACTCAGTCATTACATAGATATTGCTATAAAAGGATACACTGTATACTATTGTAAAGTTCTGATGATCCACTGAGGAGATACTTAAATATCATTTCGGTGAACAATACGAGCCATCCTTACACAGGTAGTGCTACCACCTGCCTGATAAGGTTACCAGCTCCTATTTCGTATGTAGCCCCCCAGTGGCACAGTGGTATGTCTGTGGACTCACACCGCTAGAAACCGGGTTTCGATACCCGTGGTGAGCAGAACACAGATAACCCATTATATAGCTTTGTACTTAATTCCAAACAATCAATCAACCTATTTCTTGGACTGCATTTATCAAACTAAAACATATGTGTCCTCCTTTTGTGCTTGAATAATGTTATTTATGATGTTTGAAACCTATGTAATACTGCTGTTGCTTGCTTTATTTGTAAGGTAGATTGTAGCCGGTAACGAATTTGTCTCGTCGCATCAATATTAACAGAACACATTTGTCTTTCCAGTAACAAAACCATGGAACAATTATCAATCATAGTTCCAAAATTAGAACTCCAATTAAGTTATAAAATATTACATATTTTTATATTAAATATGAGAAAAATAATGTGATATGATTATTATGCCTTCAGTGTTGCTGAATATGTATATTATTACACTTGGATATCGTAATCAATTAATGTAGTTTATCATATTGCATTTGTAGTTTATGCTTTACTACACACAAACAATCAAAATGTTTAATCTACTTGAAGGATTTTTTTAAGCAGTACAGGAATCAGAAAGAAACCTTAGAATTCAAGTATCTGGAGATACTAGACGTAAGAGCTAATCATCTAAGTCATTAAATGGTAATTTCATCCATAAATTGAGACCAAGAACATTAACAAAACGAGTTTCTAGAAATTATAAAGGTTTAGATACAAGAAAATTGCACATTTGAGATTTGAATTTGTACCCTAAATATATAAAGCTGGTTATTTTATTAGAACCTCCACGTATGTCCTGTCAGGTCACTTTTTACTATCTTAATAACCTGCGCTTAGCATCACATAGACTCCACAAGATGCCGGAAAATGTCTTCTTCGATTGTAATGTATTTGTAGAGGAGTATGGACGGTCTGAAACTGGCTTAGTAAATGTTGTATACAATGTTAAAGTTCATCCTACAACCTCATTAAGATTGAGATTTAGCGATCATGCTTGCCAAGGAATATGAATATAAACACGTCATGCTTTGAACAATACGAGTGTGTTGGATTGTTGCTTTATTGTTATGAAAGCATCCTGGTCTATTATAGGGTGGCTATGATGGGCAACAGTACGAGTATGACGAATTGTTACATTATTAACCTTGAAGCGTCTTCGTCTATTGTGGGTGGTCATGATCGATAACAATACGTTATTATCCTGGAAGAGTCTTCGTCAGTTGCAGGGTGGTTATGATTGGCAGCAATACGAGTACATTGGATTATTGCGTTATTATCCTAGAAGCATCCTTATCCATTGAAGGATTGATATGATCGGCAATACCATTCAGATACACGCTGGATGTTATTCGCTTTTCTAAAGAAACAAAAGGACACAAACTCTGCCAAGAGGACCTTCTTCATACTTATTACACAGTGTCGAGCAGGTTGCAATGTCTGAACAACATAAATAGGGTTAGGTGTTTTGCATTTTTTTTCCTGCATATTTTCACTCTATTGTCAGTACAAAAAACAAAACAAAAAACGCAGTTCATCACATGCTTTCGGCCATATATTGTCCACCTTCTGTTAGTACTTAAATGTGTGAAAAATAGAACAAGAACTGGAAGTATGGCATTTCCAAGATTTTACCTTGGCATACAAACAACCCTTTCGTTTGTTCTCAAAATGACGCCCTTTAGAACATTTTATAGTGTATAGTGGTTCTACAGACACTTCTGTCTTTGTTTTTGTGGAAGTAATATCTTCTTGTCAGTCCAAAACATACATTAGGACCAGGTCTGTTTCTTGTTTAAAATTTATCATTTTAGATAATCTTACTAGCCCCTTTTCTGTGATTGTAAGTACTATTTAGCATGTAAAAGGCCACATAGTTACTTAATCCCTTTCTTTTACATTTCTGCCATCTTCGTATTTTATAACATGGTTAGTAATGGAACTAAATATTTGTCAATGGAAATATAGTATTTCTATGTGAAAATATAATATTAGAACCTTCTGGCGTATGAAATTTATATCGACATATTATCATGTGTGTGTGTGTGAAAACATAAGAGAACAGAAAATTTTCAACCTGGACTCCAAAATATGCGTACATGGACTAAACGTCCAAGTCACTGACCCTTAGGATTCAGATATGACCGTCTCTATTTTTGAACTAGTAACCAGAAAGAAGGCAACCAGGCAGAAGCACCAACCGCCACAAGGAGCTTTGTCCGGATCTTTGAACTGAACACTGGGATTGAGTACCACTGTCACAATCCACCCATTGCTGAATTTGCGAAGCATGCTCAGCAGCAACACGTCTCGAGCCATAGACTTTTCTGTACGTAGTCTGGCACACTAATCAACGGACCATGATGATCTCAAATTTTGAAAGACGTTTGAAAAAGGTTATTCTTATTTCCAATAATTTATCTGAATGGTTATGCATATGTATCAAAAAATTACATTATTTATACATTTTAATAAATTTGCCAAAGCTGCAAGATTTTCTACAAATATACTATATCATTTTGTCTAATGGAGAGTCACTAGTTTAGCAAGATGAATTTGAAGCTCATAACTTGGCACAGAGAAGATACTGTATATCTGTTTTAGTCTTCCTTTGAACTTAATCGTTTTAAAGATTAATAAAAAAGTCATTGTTTCCAAATTCATGGGAATTTAAAGTTTTCGTTAAAACAATGTATAAAATACGATTATCTAATTTAACCACTTATTTCAACAAAATTTGAAAATATAATTCGTTTTGTCAACAGAATATGTATCAACTTGAGGTGTCAGGACCATCCAGAAAGAGATCTGCAAGAATCCATGCCCCAGCCATTGTATGCAAAATGTGGCATCTTGTACTATGTGGGAATCTACGAACAAAAGGTCATTGGCAAAAGCCGTCCATGACAACAGCACGCAAGATAATTAAGTAGGATATCCATCTAGAAAAGGGACACAAGTGATGCATACACAAGTTGTTTCCATGTCATTTGTGTTCAACAGTTGCATACCTCCTAATAGCTGGAGAATGAAACGGGAATTCATGCATTTAAATCGCCGGACACGGCGCTTATCGAATTCTATGCAATCGGACTGTTAAAATGGGTGCTTTGAAACGGTCGTCCTCGTACACTAGTTGAATTATGAAAAGCGAAGAGGAGTGTGCTTTGTACATCATAGCCTTACGATGGAGTGTCTTGCAGTGGAAAGTACGCTGCAGGAGTATTGTCAGTTATTATGGTTGTCAGATAGAGCATGATCGGACATGGTGACATCAATTCTCACGACGTGGTGAGGCTCCAAAGTTATTTGAATATAGTGTACTCAACCTCTGTAGAATATTTATATAAGAGCCTCATGAACGTAAGCTCCATATATTTATGTATGTATTTTAAACGCACACTTCTAGTTTCTTTCTCAATTATTAAATATAGCATTATTTACCTAATTCTAACTGTATGGTTTGATAACAATAACATATGCTAGATAAATCTCTGGATATTCTACAATAATTAAATAAACTTCATCCTCAACAAAACGATGTAATATGGAAGAGTATTACAAAAGGTTTAGGAATAAAAGAAGTTAAACTGTAACAAACTGAAGAGTAATGATCAAAAACCCTATAACCCGAGCGCTTTCGAAAGATGGACCTTTCTTCTTCAGGGGCAAACTGGACAAAACTGAAGAGTAAAATTGTGTTTTGATTTTATTTATAACCAACGAAGTATGAATGAATGATAGTCTCGACATCATTTGGTATCAATCATGAATATTAAGTTTGATTACTGTATTTTAACTAAAATTCGCGATGCTTAATAACAAGTGGAAGTTGTATCTGGTTAAAATATTTGTACACGAGAAGGTTATTTGAATAATCATCAATTAACGGCCAGTAATTAATGTTTGTTTGTAATTAAGCACAAAGCTACACAATAGGCTATCTATGCGATGCTCACCACGGGTATCGAAACCCGGTTTGTAGCGTTGTAAATTCGTAGACATGCCGCTGTGCCACTGGGAGCAGTAATTAATGACACGAATTAATTCATGTGATACTTATAAAGTTGCTACAGCGCGATCTCCAAAACTCTCATGAGGAATCACTCTATAAAAATATTTAGATATATTTTTTCTTTCTGGGGGTTTGTTGTTTTGCTAAATTTCGCTCAAAGTTACTTAAGGGCTATCTACGCTATCCGTCCCTAATTTGGAAGTGATAGACTTTAGGAAAGCCAGCTAATCAACATCATCTGCAGTCATCTCTCAGGCTACTTTTTTACCAATAAATAGTGTGATTTTTCCGCCACATTATAAGATCTCATAGCTGAAAGGGCGAGCACATACGGTGACAGGGATTCGAACCCGGGACCTACAAATTGTGAGCCGAGCACCCTAACAACGAGGCCCAGTTGGGGTTTTCTTGCGCAGATAACCCTCATGTAACTTTGCGCTAAGTTCAACAAAACAAACAATAAGTTTTATTGGTCATTATATTAGGTGAACTATAGAGGTCATAAATAGAACGCCTAAACAAATTATACTTTTAGTTGTAAGTTTATTTTTAAATAGATGGCGCTACAACCAATGCATAAACATGTACGTTATAATTTGAAATTATTATGCCAAACCTTATAAAATTTTATTAAAAATACAAAGATAAATATGTTATGTCCATTCATTAATTACAACGATAAACAAAGTGATACTCAAATTAAAGCTCAATTAAATAGAATGAATCAATAGGTTGCTATTCAATGCATTATAATCTACGATGATATCAGGTGAAAGGTGATAGAATGAGAAATTTAGAACAATGTCAGACATAGATTTCCTATTTTAATTCACCGTCCTTTGTATCTAGTTATATTAGGGCAAAAGTCGTATTTTGACTTAAGTTTTGTACAACTGGTTCATGTGTTTATATTGTTATTTAATGTACAATACTTTTTCAACCTACTCTCTTGGTTTTTTGTTACGAAAAAAATATTACGAATAAAAGTATAAGTTATTATTTTTGATTTTTAAAAGAACTGTAATGATACAGTTTAGTGCATAGAAACACCAGACTCAGAAAGTAGGTTGAAAAAAGTAGATCCCTGAACCCTAACGTATTCCCACGTAAGTCGTACTTTGTCAGAAGTATATGCACTCACTCGTGACGAAGTACAAATTACTGTAGGAGAGCGCTTTTTCAGAACCCAGTTCAACATAAGAGTACCGTAAATAAGCTTACAATATCATAGGTTTCTTTACAATACGATTTAACATCTTTTATACACTCTTTGAGGGAGGTTTTTTTGTTGTTGTTTTTTGTCGTGGCACTTAATGTCTCCCCTCAGTAAAGAAAGTTTAAACAGATGAAGTTCTGTCTTCAATGACTTCTTTTTCTTCGTAACGGCGAATGCTGTTAAGTCGTACTCGTTCCAGCTCTTCTGGCTCTGGTGGTAAGGCAGAGAAAGTATGTTGGTAAAAGATTCCTGCTATTATTCCACCAAGAATAGGCCCGAGCCAGTAAATCTAGGAGAAGAAAAAAATCTAAATTTTAGAAAACAAACAAACCAAAAAACATCCAAACAATTTAGATAAATACGTTGTAGTGTATAAACACGAAAATCATGTACCCAATCATGTGTTAATATGTTTCAAATTTCAAAAATAAAGTTTTCAATTCCTTACATCAGTTGCATGCCAGAACTGTTTAGGACTTTTAAATAATACAAAGATCGTTTAAGCAGTATATGTTTTGTACCAAATGCGAATCCAGTTCGATAAAGGAAAATGTTTTGTGGATAGTTTTGTAAAACTCGGTAATGAAGTGGCTGACAAGATCTAAAACATGACTTATTTGGCGTCATAAACTTTGATAAAGGTTTTATTACCAGTGTAAATATGTTTTTGTTTTTTTTCAAACTGACTGAAACTTAGCGTGTGGAGGTCTGCCATGGCCTGATGGTTAAGATGCTCGAGGCACAATCTGTGGGTCGCGGGCTTGAATCTTTCATCGAAAATGCCCGTCCTTTTATCCGTGGGGACATTATAATGTTACGATCAATCATCTCCGTGGTTTCTAGGCCGATGCCAAACCAATGGAATTCCAAAAGGCAAAGACTTTTTCTTACCTTTAGTCCATTGTCTCAACTCTTCGACACAAACGGTGCAAACTTTTTGCGGAGCCCATGATATGTCTTGGTCCCCACCTTTTATTTCAAAATACGCATAATATGCTTTTTTGACGAATTCTGTAATGTTTTGCCTTTGTTTCTTTACAACAAATTTACCACAAGTAGAATATATTTGGGTCATTTACACAACTTCTTGTTGCCGTAGCGATGAATAAGTAATATTTAAAAAAAAATAATGTCAAAGTGCACGCACAAAAAAATACTATACAGAAATGACACGTCATGCGGCCTATTAACCTTTTATGTACTAGCGGTGTGTTTCGCGTAGGTTCTAGAACAATCAATAAGATCCTGGCGTCGCGATTGGATTGGTCTAGAGGAGTCTATAGCCAGTGGTTGTCAACATTTTAAGCATAACAAAATGTGACCCGATTTCAATGAAAATAATTCATTTATGTAAAAGTACATATGACGTTTTGTGAAAATCTGCACGAGATGGAGAAAAATGGATTTCAATTTTGGATTCAGTGTACAGGAATTACCGTAGAACATGTAAAAATTTCAAGACAATAAAACCATCGCAGGCCTGTGTTATTGAAATGGTAAAGTCCTTTGAATTAAAAACAAAATAAAATGCGTAATATAATTTGATACCTTGTAGCTAATATAAATAAATAAATAAAAAACAGTAAATATACAGGTGATATTTATTTTTATAAGCTTAAAACTACCTTACACAGGATTTTCGTCTTCGTCAATCTATATACTTCTCGGTCATTTGAAGGATATTCAAAAACTGAATATTTAAATTTAACCTTATATTCATAATTGCGAAATCTTACCTAAAATCAAAAATGGAAAATCTTTTAACTTTATCTAGTAAACATGCCAACAAGTAACGAGAAACTACTGGTCTATTGAATAAAGATTGTCTCCTTAAATTGTAACAATAACATAGTTAATATCACTCACCCAATGATATTCCCAAACTCCAGCTATTACGGCTGGTCCGAATGATCTTGCTGTGTTCATGCTCGAGCCAGTATACTTGACCTGCGGAAAGAGGGGCGGTATTTAAATTATTGTAGATAAGTATTACTATTATTTTTTGATATGCAAATATTATACAGAGACCTTTAATAAAACTAAAATCACCACATAATTAAATAACGTATACTGCACCAATAAAAGAAAACTAACGAATATAACATTTACGTCATTTGAATACATGTTCAGTTTGTTTGTTAAAACATATCAGTTTTTAAAAAATCAGTTAATGCGCAAAATAATTCACTAGAATGTATTGTTTTAACATAAATAAGCAACTTGCAGGTAAACACATTCATACACTGTCTAACGTTGTCCTGTATCTTGACATAACTTCCAAAGAAACCCATAGTAGAGTAAACCCAAGTAAAAGTTACGGTTTAAATCTAGGTATTTGGTAAAGCATTAGAGAGTAGTCGACCTAAAATTTGTAACACAAATAATGTTACGACAGCGGAAGTCACGCGACGCTGAAAGCATGCGCGCTGGAGTTTATCGAAGGATCATGAATTATCGAGGAACCCCGCGAATGTCCGAGTGCTTGCCAGGCGCGCTCTTTTTTAGTATATAAGCTCGGCAAATAAAGCCAGCGATAGATAGATATACAGATAGATTGAAGAGATAGATAATTAAGTCAAGCGAACAGTA